TGCCTGATGGGGTTCATCGTCTTCGTTGGCGTCAAATACGTCAACCGCTTTGCCAGCTTCTGCCTGGCGACGGTGCTGCTGTCCATCCTGTGCATCTACATCGGCTACTTTGCCTCCCCGACCTCCCGCCAGCCGGACGTGTGCATCATTGACGAGGCCCTAGTGCGCAGCTCCTACGACGGCAACTGCACCGCTGCCGATGCCACGCTCTACCCGACGTGGCAGAACGCCAACTCGTCGTACTCCGGTTACGTACAGGCGTTCCCGGGCCTTGGCAGCGGCGTGTTCCAAAGCAACGTTGGGCCCCACTACCTCAAAGGCGGCGAGTCCGCGCCCGGACAAAAGGGCCACGACGACGTTGTCGTTGCGGACATCACCACGTCCTTCACGCTGCTGCTGGCCATCTTCTTTCCCGCGTGCACGGGCATTATGGCGGGGTCCAACCGCTCCGGGGACCTCAAGGACGCATCGCGTGCCATCCCAACAGGCACCATCGCCGCCATCGCCACCACCGCCCTCATCTACTTCACGTCCGTGCTCTTCCTCGGCGGCGTTGTGCAGGGCCCGCTGCTTCGCGACAAGTTTGGCGACAGCATCAACGGCGGCCTGGTCATTGCCGAGCTGGCATGGCCGCATCCGATTGTCATCCTCATTGGCGCTCTCCTCTCCACCATCGGCGCCGGGCTCCAGAGCCTCACGGGCGCGCCCCGCCTCCTCCAGGCCATTGCCCAGGACAATTTGCTGCCGTTTCTTTCCTATTTTGGAAAGGCCTCTGCGTCTGGCGAGCCCACGCGCGCGTTGGTGCTCACGCTCATCATTTCGGAATGCGGCGTGTTGATTGCGTCACTGGATGCCGTGGCGCCCATCATCACCATGTTTTTCCTCATGTGCTACGGGTTTGTGAACCTTGCCTGCTCCCTCCAGTCGCTCCTGCGCGCGCCGTCGTGGCGCCCGCGCTTCAAGTACTACCACTGGAGCCTGTCCAGCCTGGGGCTCGTCCTGTGCGTGCTGCTCATGTTCGTGTCCAGCTGGTTCTACGCCCTCGCCGCCATTGTGCTCGCCGCCGTGGTGTACTACTACATTGAGTTCAAGGGCGCCGCAAAGGAGTGGGGCGACGGCATCCGCGGCCTGAGCATGCAGGCAGCGCGCTTCAGCCTGCTGCGCTTGGAGGAGGCCCAGCCGCACACCAAGAACTGGCGCCCGCAGATTCTCACGTTTGTCAAGCTGAACGACGCCACGCTGGACGTGAGCGAGCCGCGCCTGCTGGACCTCGCGGGCTCACTCAAGAACGGCAAGGGCCTGAACATGGTGGCCAGCGTGCTGGAGGGCGACTTGATTGAGCGCTGCTCCGACCGCGCCACGGGGCAGGTGGCCATCAAGGCCGCCATGAAGAAGGCAGACATCCAGGGCTTTGCCGAGGTGGTCGTGTGCCCGTCCCTCGCCCAGGGCATGAGCTTCCTCGTGCAAAGCGCCGGCTTGGGCGCGCTCAAGCACAACACAGTCATGCTTGGCTGGCCCGAGGGGTGGCGCGAGCGTCTGGAGCATGCGCAGGCGGAGGCTGCCGGCCAATCTGCGGAGGAGGCAGCGGCGAGCCTGCGCCAGGTGTCCGTGTTCATGCGCGTGCTGCTGGACGCGGCGTCCAACGAGCACGCCATCATCGTGCCCAAGAACCTGCACATGTTCCCCGACCCGGGCGTCCCCGAGACAGGCACGATTGACGTGTGGTGGATCGTGCATGATGGCGGTATGCTGCTGCTGCTCGCCTTCCTTCTTCAGCAGGATGTGGTCTGGCGCAAGTGCCGCCTGCGTGTGTTCACCGTTGCGGAGAACGACGACAACAGCGTACAGATGCAGCAGGATCTGCAGTCGTTCCTGTACCACCTGCGCATCGACGCCGACGTGAAGGTTGTCGAAATGCTCGACTCGGACATCTCCGCGTACACGTACGAGCGAACGGCACAGATGGAGAGCAGGACACAGCTGATGGAAGACCTGAATCTCTCGCCAAAGCAGCGCGCGCGTGTTGCTGAGGCCGTGGCCGATCGCTCCAGGGCAGACGCAGCACACGGCGCCGTGCGGGCAGACAGGCCGCTCACAGACAACGTGCGGCGCATGAACACGTCTGTCAAGTTGAATCGCATCATCCAGCAGCACTCGCATGACGCGCGCTTGATACTGCTCAACCTCCCCGGGGCGCCCAAGGAGTGTGCAGACAGCTACGACGCAGCCATGAGCTACATGGAGTATGTGGATGTGCTCACGGAGAACTTGCAACGCATCATCATGATTCGTGGTGGCGGTCGCGAAGTCATCACCATCTTCTCGTGACATTTTCACACCGTACCGTCACGTGTGATGTGACGTGCTGTGCTGTGCTGTGCTGTGCTGTGCTGTGCTGTCATGTGGTGCGGCATGATGCATCATGCATGTCATGGCTTGTTTGTGCGTGGTGATGCGTGGCACCGTGTGATGTGGTGATATGGCTTTGTGGAGGCTCCCAAGCGTGGTGGTGGGTGGGTGGGTGGTTGGTTTGTACAGCCAGCAGTGGTGGTTCGATGTTGTTCGTGAACGGAATGCTTCGTGTTTGTAGTGCCTCATGTTTGTTGTGCATATTATGGCCACCGAAACGTGAACGAGGATCAAAAATACAGACAGACAACAAGCTACGCCTCTATTGAAACAGGTTATGGAAGTGTAACACGGGCAAATGAAATGCAAACGGAAAGGAGTCACAGACACCAACTTGTATCAGCCACATGAACCTAGGTCACACGGAAACATTACAGAATCCATGAGAAGAATTGACGCATCATGACAGCGAGCATTCCTTGCCGTCGCCATCGACAGCACGAGCACGACGATGCTGTGTTTGTTGGGCTTCCGTATCGGTGTTATTGTTGCTGCTATGTTGTTGTTCTGCTTGTTGTTGTTGTTGTTGTTGTTGTTGTTGTTGTTGTTGTTGTTGTTGTTGTTGTTGTTGTTGTTGTTGTTGTTGTTGTTGTTGTTGTTGTTGTTGTTGTTGTTGTTGTTGTTGTTGTTGTTGTTGTTGTTGTTGTTGTTGTTGTTGTTGTTGTTGTTGTTGTTGTTGTTGCTCGTGGTACGAAGGGATCGTGGACGTTCGCAGTGTGTAAACGCCACCGTGCGATGCTGCTTGTCCGGAATACAGCGGATGGACGGGCGCCATCGTGGACATTGGAAACATGTACGGGTGCGGCGTGGAGGCATGCGAGTACATGGACGTGGTGGCAGGGTATGCCGGCAGCAGATTGCGACCATCAGAGTAGTACTGCGGCCCACCCATGCTCATCGGCAGCAGTGATGGCGGTGGTGGCATCGACACGCCCAGAACGCCGTCCCCGTGCTGTTGTGGTGGCGGCATCACGTTGTGCACGGCCATGCCCTGCATCATGCTCCCCGGCTGCTGTTGCAACATCTGCTGCTGCTGCTGCTGCTGCTGCTGCATCATTTGAACGTGCGGTGGCACTTGCGGCTGTTGCACTTCTGGGTTGAATGCGTTCTGGTATTCCCTGAGTGCGTCCTCTTCCTCCTGCGCCTCCAAGCGCTCGTTGATGTCTGCGAGAATGTTGTGCTCGTGCCGCTGGATATACTTGATAAACCGCTTCCCCGCCGGCGCCTCCTTCACCGTCGCCAGCACAGCCTCCTGCACGTCATGGTGATGACGATGATGGGAGGGGGGAGGGGTTAGCAGAAACGACAAGAAATAGAAGGATGTGTGAAACAATCGCGGAAGGGGTGTGTTGCATGAACAGACCCAAATAATCAGACACACAGGCACGCACACACACATACACACAGGCACGCACGCACGCGCACGCGCGCACGCGCACGCGGGCATGTCGGCAAATGATGTTGACGTACGATGCGCTTTGCGGTGCGTGTGTGCGACTGAGAGCCGGCACCCTCGGGGTCGCTGTCAATGCAGATGACCTGGTGCCCATGGTCTCCCTCATCGTTCTTCGCTATCTTTTCCTTCTTCACATCATCATCATCATCACCATCTTCCTTTTTCCCCTCCTTCTTGCCCTTCCCTTCCTCCTCATCTTCCTCCTCCTTCTTTGTTGTCGTTTTGCCACCGCCGCCACCGGTGCGTGCGTCATCGCTCTCTTCGTCCGTGCTGCATCCGTCCGTGTCGTACAGCATCGCCAAGCTCGTCGCCCTGTGCACGTCGTGGCGAACAAACTTGCGATCAACCAGCCGCTGCGACAGCACCTCCTTCGTCACCTGCGATTGTGCAATCGTGGCAGAAAGTGGTGGAAGTGGAAATGGCAGTGAACAAATGCATGTTGGCTGAATCGAAGGTTCAACTTTGGTTGTGTCGTGTGGAAAACGCTTCCCAGCTTCAACACAAACACACGCACACGCACACGCACACACACACACACACACGCACACGCACGCACACACACACGCACACGCACACACACACGCACACGCACACGCACACGCACACGCACACGCACACGCACACGCACACACGTCTTGCAACAAGCGGACCTGCTTCTCGTAGATGCGCTGCTCCAGTGTGCCGCGTGCGACCAGCCGATATACGACAACAGGCAGTTTCTGCCCGTATCGGTGAGCACGCGTAATGGCTTGGTTGTCCTGCATATACCATGCGTCATGACACAGAGTGAGCTTGACGTGAGGAACAAATGAGCAGCTCGTGTCAACCGCATCCCAATGAGCAGGCACAGCAACCACACCACAATAAAACACAAGCCACATGCGCGCGAAGCGACCCAAGCAAAACGCATGGCATGAACACAAGTGCAAACACGACAGGTGCACTCACGGAAGCTGGATTCCAGTCGACGTCAAAGAGAATGACGCGATTGGCGGAATGAAGGTTGATGCCCGCACGGCCAGCCTGGTTGGAAGAGCAGTGTGGGTGAGGAGGACGCAGAAGAGGTGAGCAACCGCGTAACACACACGTGCACACACACAGGCACTCACGAAGACACGCAGACTCACATACATACACGTACTCGCACACACACACACACATACACGTACACGCACACACACAAATGCGCACAAACAAAAGCACGCGCCCGCGCCCAAGCAACCGAGCACATATCAGACCACGCGTTACCCTGTGGGAGATGATCATGATGGCCGCGTTGCTGAGGGCAGAGTTGAACTTGGCAATCTTCTCTGTCCGTTCCTCTGCGCTGTCGTTGCCTTGCAGCACAACAAAGTCGCGGTTCTGGTGCCACCGCGCGGAGTTGTTGGGGTCATTGCGAGTGGGCAAGCGTATGGACTGCAACAGTGCAGACAGCAGCTTGATCACGGGGATGCTCGAGCAGAAAACGAGCATGCGTTGCTGCCGGTGCACAGTCTCCTTGATGAGCGAAATGGTCACGGCAAGCTTGCCAGACATGTTCATGATGGCGGTGGCGTTCAGTGGCAAGTGTGGTTCCGGCAGCTTGTTCATCAACGCCGTGAGCCTGTCCTGCACGTGCACGTAGTCCTTGAACGCCGGCACCACAGTCGGTGCGTTCCACACGCCAATCAGCAGCCGCCACATGCGCAGCAGGTTGGACCCAACGGTGCTGTTGCCAAAGTGGTCGACCACTTCGCGGTAGAGGCGCCGCTGCAGTCGCGTCATGCGGATCATGATGACATACTCGCGGCGGCTCGGCACCGTCGTGTCCCCGTCCGGACGAATGCGCCGGTGAATGGCGCCAGAGAGGACTTTGTTCAGGACAGCCAGGCGCCGCTTGTACAGGCGACGCTGGCCCTGTGTAGCATCCGCGTACTGCCCATCGTGGATGGGAATGGCAAAGTGCTTCTTGAACTGGTCAACAGACCCGAGCAGATCGTCGCGAATCAGCGACAGCAGCGCGTAATACCTAACAACATACAGGGGAATGAGGGAGACAAGTGGTCGTGTGCGTGCGTGAGTAAACAAAAGAGTGTGTGTGTGCCTCCGTGTATGTGTGCATGAGTGTGTGCGTGTTTGTGCATGAGTGTGTGCGTGTTTGTGTATGTGTGTGTGTGCGTTTCAATGTGGAAACTCACTCGAGCAAGTTGTTCTGCAACGGCGTTCCTGTGAGAATGAGCTTGCGTTTTGTGGGCATGTCGTTGAAGATGCCAAAGCGAATCGACTGCATGTTCGTGGCCATATGCCCCTCGTCCATGATCAGCACATCCGGGTTGAGGTACTGCCGCAGCTTGTACCGCAGGTGGCGGCCTGTGTGGCGACGCGACAATAAGTTCACCAGCAAATCATAGCTGATGATCAGCACCCCGCCCTCCTTGTGCCACTTGCGGATGGTCCGTGGCCGGTCCGCAATCGCTATTGGACGGTTATGAGCGTGCATGTTTGGACGTGTGTGCGTGTATACGTACATGCATGCGAAGATGTATGCGCGTGCACGTTCGTATGCGCGTGTGTGTGCGTGTGTGTAGGGGTACGTGGGTGAGCGTGAGAAAGCGAGATGTCAGCAAGCAGACGAGTGTGTGAGTGGGTGTTGGGACGCAGAAAAGCACACGCAACCGAAAACTCATTGCAGTGACGATGACACACGCAATTGAAGCCAACCAAAGCCACAGCCTGCAAGACAAGATCAGACGCCGCTAGTTTCACGTACGAATGGCTGAGGAGAACGTGCAGATGGGGGGAGGTGGTGAGCCGCTGGGCCAGTGCTGCTTGATGGTGTCCCGCCAGTAGAAGAGCACACTCACGGGAACGACAATCAGAAACGTGTTGAACGGCTTCCGCCACACCGTGTGCAGGAACGTCACAGCCTGCATGCATGTACGTGTGCGTGTGTGCGTGTGTGCGTGTGTGCGTGTGCGCGCGCGTGTGTGTGTGTATGCGTGCGTGTGTGTGTGTGTGTGTATGCGTGCGTGTGTGTGTGTGTGTATGCGTGCGTGTGTGTGTGTGTGTGTATGCGTGCGTGTGTGTGTGTGTGTGTGTGTGTGTGTGTGTGTGTGTGTGTGTGTGTGTGTGTGTGTTTGGGGAGGTGACATGCGGCAGTGAGACGTGGGTCGCTGCAGGAGAAATTGCGCAGTTGCAATGACCATCCTGCTGTCCCCAGTGAACACATTTCAACAACACAACACACACACACACACAAACAAACAAACACACAAACAAACAAACAAACAAAAAAACCGCACACCTGCAGCGTTTTGCCGAGCCCCATGCCGTGTGCGAGGATGCAGCCCCTGCCGGCATCTCGGTCCTTTGCCTCCTCAACGGTGTGCACCAGGTTGTTCCAGATGAACCGAATACCTTCCTTCTGGTGCGGCATGAGTATTGACCACAGCGATGGGTGGATCTCAACAGGCTTCTCGCTCTTTGGGCCGTGCAAGTTGATGTAGGGCAGCTTGTCGTAATCAGCAAGCTCTGCGTCGCCACCCTGCTTTTTCAGCCACTGCTTGGCGTTCTTGTCGTAGTTCTTCTGCAGGCTGTCCAACCACTGCTTTTCTTCCCTCTGCTTCTTCAGCACATACTTTGGCTGCGCGCGGCTCACCTTCAACCGGGACCGCTGTCGTCGCTTCTTCGCCTTGTCCTTGCTCCTTCCACTGCGTTTCTGTTCCTTCTCGCCCTGATCCACACCGAGCAACCCCTCCACTCCCTCGCCTTCACCTTCCCCTTCCCCTTCGTCCTCTTCCTCGCTGTTCTCTGGCGACAGCTCTGCGTCGCTAGGGATTGGGGACAGGCCAGAAACGTCGTCAAACGGCTGTCGCGCACCCGTGTCGCCGTCTGTGGATGTCGATGACACTGCTGCCGCCCCTTCAGACGACTTCCCCTTGCGCTTCCGCCGCGCCCCGCGCTTTCGGCCTCTCGATCTCTTGGCGCCGTCTTCCTCATCATCCATGGCAAGGTCAAATGCAATGTCCTCAGAGTCGCTGTCGTCAAACTCGGAGTAATCACTCTCAATCAGGCCGCCAAACACAACATCATCGTCTTCGTCTTCTTCCTCCTTTTCATCGTCGCTATCAAACACAAAGTCCTCGTCATCGTTGTCGCTGCTGCTGCTGCTGCTGCTGCTGCTGCTGATCTCTTCGCTGCTATCAAAGCCCCACCAGTCCACTTCCCTCCTCTTCTTCTTGTTCTTCGTCCTCTTCTGCTTTGCTTTTGACTTCGAAGTCTTCGACTTTGAAGTCTTTGCCAGTGCCTTCTTCTCCTTCTTATCAGCCGCCGCCGGAGTTGTCGTGCTCTCCTTACGCGCACCCGACCTCGTCCCCTTCTTGGTCGCTGTTGACTCCCTCACCATCGCAGCGCTCGCCGCCTCTGCCTTCACTTTGTCCTTCTTGTCCGCCACAACCGCACATGATGATGGTGGTGGTGGTGGTGGTGATTGTGCGGAAGGTGGTGTCCTTGGCGCCGGGGACCGCGTTGCTGATCTCGTTGCTGATGCTGACGCTGTCGCTGCTGCATTCGCGTCGATTGTGGACGCCGAGAGAGCGCGCACACGAGCACCGCCAGCACCGGCAGTGTCGGCGCCATCCATGCCATCATCATCATCATCCCACTCATCCTCGTAGAAGGTGATGGTCTCCTCATACCCGTCGTAGAGGTCTTCTGGCGGTGGCAGCATGTTCAGCAGCGCCTCAAGGTCTTTCGTGTTGCCGTTCTGCTCGTACACCTCATCACCATCATCGCCGTCATCATCGTCATCATCATGGACAACGCTCGACGCTTGGCGTGGCGTGCGTTTGGTGGCCTCGGGCGAAGATGTGACTGCGGTCTGACTCGTGGACGTGCTGGTGGCTGCATCTGCGGCCGTGTCCATTGCGCCGTCTGCTTGCGCTTCAACGTGTGGCCGCTTTGCCGCTTGCTCGGTCTCAGACAGCGTCGAAACTTGCCCTGCATCCCCGCCATCGCCATCACCTCTGGCACGACGGCTTTGGGTGGTGGCCTTTCGCTTTGCCGGTGCAACCGCAGCCGAGTTGCTGGTGCGCGCGCCATCATCACCATCAGCACCATCATCTCTTTCATTGCTGTCGTCATCATCATCATCAGCAGCAGCAGCAGCAGCAGGGGCTTTGCTGGCCATGCCAGATTTGCTGCGGCTGTTGGCGCCCATGTCACCATCATCGTCAAGGGCTGCCTTCAATGCCTCGCCCTGCTTGAGCTTGCGCTGTTGTTGCGTGGCCGGTTCTTCCTCGTCATCCTCGTCCACTTCTTCGTATTCCACTTCGTACTCGATTTCTTCGTATTCTGACGACTCGTCATCCTTCTCCTTTTCCCGTCCCTGTTTGCCTCGCTGTTCTGTGCTGTCGCCTACCGCAACCTTGGCGCGCTTCGCTGCGTGCCCATCCTCACCACCACCACCACCACCATCGCCACCATCACCATCACCATCGCCACCGTTCACTTCATCAACACCCGCAGCGAGTTGTGGTGGTGATGGTGGTGAGTCCATCATCAAGCCTGTGAGCAGGTGTGGAGACGCTGGCGCTGCACAGAATGGCAGCACAGGCGTTGTCCGAGTCACAGACGTGCTGCCCTCGCTTGTGTTGGTCCGTGATGCATCATCACCACCATCGCCACCACCATCACCATCATCATGTTCGTCGTCATCGTCGTCATTGGTGTTGTCGTCGCCCTGCGTGGCGCCAAACAGCAGCTGTGTTCCCGGTGGTTCTGCGTCTTGGTCGTCTGCAACGGGTGCTGCTGTGGCTGGCGGTGTCTGTGCAGGCTGTATGGCCTCAGTCGTGCTGACTGACGCGGGCTCCACACTCACTGCGTCGTCCACTGCCGCGCTTGCTGCTGTTGTTGGTGGTGGTGCTGCTGCTGACTTGCTTGTCGATGACTTCGTCTTGGCTGTGGTTACTGTCTTTGCCTTGGGTGCTGTCTTGGTCTTCTGTGCCGAGTTGGTCTTTGCACGTGGTGCGCGAGGCTTGCGAGGCTTGCGCGGCTTGGTGGGCTGTGTTCTCTTCCTACGCTGCTTCCTGTCTCGTCGCCGGGCTGACAGCACCTTGCCTGCATCCCGCATGTCTGTTCGCTTCTTCACCTTCACAGCACTCTGCTTCAGCCATTTGTCTTCCTCTGCCGCTATTCGCTTCAGCTCCGCCTTCAGTCGCTGCATTTGCTTTCTGCGTGCACGGGAACTCGGTGCGCCAAACTCATCACCTTCAACATCGCCATCACCATCATTTTCATCATCATCATCGCCATCATCGTCGTTGTCGTCGTTGTCGTCGTCGTCATCATCATCATCACCGCCTTCGTTCTTTACAATCGCCTTTGCCGCTGTCTCATCGATATCGCTTGATTCAGACCCGGCAAGGTCCTCAACCACATCCGCCCCCTCCACGCCAACACCAGCCTGCAATGCCGCTGCTGGGGTGTCCAGCTGGCACAGCTTCTTCGAGTGCCGGTGCACAGCGTACCCTTTGGCAGCGAAAAGCCGCAACCCGCCGTCTTTGCTGCGCTTCACCGGTCGCAGCTTGTTCAGGGCGGCGGTGGCGGCTTCCATGGCCGAGGCTTCCTTCTCAAGGACCGAGGGGAGCGATGCCTGCGTGAACTTGCGCAACAGCCCATATGGCATGCGGTCGTACAGACGGCCACATTGCTCCTCCAGCTCGTCCAGCTTCTCCTCAAGCTCAACCACGCGTGCATACGCACGCTCTGCCTCTTCGCTCGTGTCGTCGTCATCATATGCCTGTGCCTGCCCCCTTGCCTCTGCCAACGTGTTGTTCAGCGCGTCTGCCTGAGCTTCCAACACTTCTATGCGCCGCATCACGCGCGCCCACTTGGACTCGGACGAAGCCGCAGGTCGCCCGCTTGCGCTCGCAGTGCTCACCCGCTCGCCTTTGCTGGTGCCCACGTGTGTAGTTCCTGCCTCTGCACTTCCAGCTTCCTCCGCTTGTCCATCGCCTGTCTCCTGCTCCTCTTCCTCATCCTCATCGTCTTCTGCGTCGTAGTCTTCGTCTTCATCTTCGTCGTCATCATCGTCATCGTAGTAGTCGTCAAGAAGGCGGTCATCCGTCTCGCCATCTGTGCTGCCGCCTAGCGTGGGATCAAAGCCTGCATCAAACGCATCTGAATCGTCGTCATCAAAGCCAACGTCGTTATCGTCATCTTCGTCATCTTCGTCGTCTTCGTCATCTTCGTCATCTTCGTCATCGTCATCAGCATCGTCATCACCACTGGCAAACTCGGCATTGGCGGGGCAAGCTTGGTCATGATCAGTGACAGCTGCCTCACCGGTGGAGTCGGGCACAATGGAACTGTCGGTGCTGTTTGAATCTGGGGTGCTCTCTGCGAGACGGTGTGACTGCTTGCGCCGTGTTGCGTCAACCTCTTTGCTGTTGTTGTTGTTGGTCTTGTGCGTGGTTGAGGATGTCTTCTGCGATGCGCCAGCTGCTGCTGCTGCTGCTGTTGCTGCTGCTGCTGCTGCTGCTGACGGTGAGTGTGCCGGCTTGCGCTCTGCTAGCTTGCGCGGTGCAACCCGGCGCTTCTTGGGCTTGGCTGCCTCTGTCTCTGGCGCAGTGCTTGCGTCTGGTGTCAAGGTGGGCTTTGTGGTCGTCGAGACTGTGCCCTTCTTGGCTGCTGGCACCTTGGTTTGTTCTCGTGGGTGGTGGTTCTCGTGGTTCTCCTCGTCACCGCTTTGATCCGTGTCCTCCACAACAACGACGTCGTCATCAGCGCCACCATTCACAGCGTCATCGTTGATCGCATCTGTGGACTTGACCGGCGCTGCGGGTGCCATGAATGCCTTGGCCGTCACAGGTTTTGCTTGTGGCTTGTGTCTGCGCCTTGGGAAATGGCGCTTTTGCCGCTCAGGATGTTGCTGCAGATACTGCAGCTGTTGTAGCTGTTGCAGCCGTTGCTGTCTCCGGCTCGTCGAGAGACCGGTTGAGTGAGCGAATGTGCTGCTTGTTGTGGAGGGGGATGCAGCGGCCAGTGCATGCGGTCGTCGTCGAGTTGTTGTGTGTGGTTGTGTGGCAGCGTGGTCAGAAAGCGCGGACTGTGCGCGTTGGCAAATAAAAAATTGGCAAGATGAATTTGATGTTGTTTTATTGGCAATGCAACACAGCAAACTTTTGAAAACGGGTGCTCTAAATGTGCATCGAATCTACGAATGAGAGATGAGGAACACAGGTTGGTGTGCACGCCCACACTTCATGCCACGCACACTCACGTGCACGCACAACACACACATGCCACGCACAACACACACGTACACACATGCACACACCACACTCACATGCACACACACGACACACACACACACACGACATACACACAACATACGCACACATCACATGAGGTCGACTTGGCCAATCTGCAACGCATCCGTGATGGCGTCAAGGACACGCTCGGCAACCTCCTTATCCAGCTGCAAACGATTCACGGTAATGGCAAAGGACGTGTTGGTGTGTGGATCGCAAAACGCTGCACTGCCGCCAAGCCCGACGTGGCCAAACGGCGTGTCCAACACACGCCCGTCCCGCTTCATCCTGTGGAGAAGATGAGGGATTGCAGCGTTGTAGAGAAGGGAGGAGGGGTGGTGTGAGGTGGCGCAGATAAAGTCGCGACAAGCGCAAATGGAAGGGGAACAAAAGGAAGGAAGCAGGTCAACCACAGGATGAACACAGCAACAAAACAAACGCAACAGTAACAAAGCCAAAGACGTACAATCATACACACACACATATACATACACGTACCTGTACTTTTGGTAGCCAAGACCCCAGCGCACGCGCATGCCTTGCATGAACGGCGTCTCAATGGGCTGCGTCTGTTCAGGGAATCGAAACACAAAAAAAGCATCAGGAATGCGTCGTGAGACACTCTGATTTTCACACACACACACACGCACGCACACACACCGATCACATTCGCACTCATTCATTTACAGTCACACACACACACACACACACACACACACACACACACACACACACACACACACACACACACACTCAAGCACGTGTGTAAGGCCGACAGGGTGGTGGATACAACAACGCCACCATTTCTGTACCGTGCAGGAGTTCCATGCACACAATAAGCAAGCGAACCTTTGACATGGTGGCAACAGTCTCTGGCTGCAGCAGTTGAAACGACCCAAGTCGGCCGTTGTTGGCGAGCACGGCGTAGAACTTGGCAAGCGCACGCGCAGAGAAGTGGCCGTTGGCTGAGGGGATCACCGCTTGCCGCAACTGCATGTGTGTGTGTGTGTGTGTGTGTGTGTGTGTGTGTGTGTGTGTGTGTGTGTGTGTGTGTGTGTGTGTGTGCAACATCAAGCAGCTTGCAATGGCGGTCGGATCAATTGTGTCATTTCGTGCATGAGCAAGTGTAATGCAGATGCAGGCGTCTCGCGTGTCAGTGCGCCAACGCCAACGCCAACGCTAACGCCAACCCACCTGTCGTGTGTTGTACATGCACGGGTCCAGCAGAATCATCTTGCTGGCGTCCAATTCCTCGTCTTCTGGTTGTTCTGCTTGTTGCTGTTGATGTGTAGTGGCAGCAGGCACAGCTGATGCTTGCTCATTCCCTGATCGTGTGCGTGCTGCTGCTGCTGCTGCGTGGTTACTAGCTTCTTTCACGGCACCTCTCTTCTGCGCCTTCTGCTTCTGCTGCTGCTGCTGCTGCTGCTGCTTCCCCGTCGTCTGCTGCTTCCTGGCTTTCGTCTTCTTCAGTGCCTGCTTGCTTCCCTGCTTGCGTGGTGCTCTCTTCTTCTGCTGTGGAGTTGGTGGCGGGGTTGGCTCTGGCGGCGGCGTGTACTGTGGGCGCGACATGGCAAGCTTGCGAATCGCCGCCACACACAGCGGCTGGTTGGTCGCAACGACGTTGACCACCATCGTCGGAACATTGCCCTGCCAAGTTGTGTTTGCATGTGTGCGTGGGAGGGACAAGGATGGTATTGTGGGGGAAAGTGAGGAAGATAGGTGCCTGATGTGATTAAAGTATCAAAATCCAAATGCAACTTGAAATCAAACTAACAAACACAACGCACAAACACACACACGCACAAACACACACACGCACAAACACACACACGCACACGCACAAACACGCACAAACACACACACTAAGCAAAACACACACACACACACAAAACATGAAAACACGTACAATGCACACACACCCGACACACACCTTTGGGTCGACAGCAGTGAGGTATGTGACGGTGCACTTGTTGGGATCGTTGGGGAAGGGCACAACGCGCATGCCACCCAAACCCTCCGCTCGCACAACACTGACAGACATGTTGGGTTTCCACACGCGCATGAGAGAGTGTGTGAGCATGTGTGTGTGTGTGTGTGTGTGTGTGTGTGTGTGTGTGTGTGTGTGTGCGCGCAAGGGGAGTGCGCAAGGAAAGTGGTAAGATCACCACATATTGTTGACGAGCCTCTCCTCAACCACACATGCGTGCATAACGGCACGGCACACGCACACACACCAAAACACACATGTTCCACATATGTTCCACACCACACCGCCTCTCGCACGACTCACCCCGATTTGGGCGGGCAGTCTGGGTGCTCGACGCTCTTGCTGACCATGAAGAAGCCGCCGTTGTCCAGGAGACGAAGGGACTGCACGAAGCACATGTCGCGCCCAGAGACCGGCCAGATGGGCTTGTACTCATCACGGATCACCTGAAGCACACCACACGCATCGCAGTCTCGCGTCAGCCCGTGCAGAGGCATGCTGCACACCTGCACAACACATCCACAATACATTCACAGATTCATATACAAACACACATTCTTCCACACCAGCTCACATACGCAAAATACACGTATGCAGACGCAACACGAACCTTTGTGCAGTCATCAAACACTTCAACCTCGTCCAGGCAGGCAAAGTCCTTGTTCCACAGCGGCTTCTGGTCCACCTGCGTCAGAATCTTGAAGAGAACGGCTGGGTGGCGCTCAATCACGCCCACGCCCCGAACCATCACCAACGGGCTGTCCTGGATCTAAAGACAGGTGTGACAATGGGAACATTGCAGGATGAGGGCGGGAAGAATGAGGGATCGAGTGTCGACAATGAACCGTGTCCATGAGACTCACTCGCACACACATTCACATTGACACACACACACACGCATTGCCCCCCCCCCCACACACACACACATTGCCACACACACATTGCCACACACACACACACACGCACACACACACACACACACACACATTGTAACCCACCTTTTTCTTCCAGATCTCAACGTCTGATGACGTCTTGACAAGGCCCCATCCGTCTGTTGTGCTGTCCATTTCCTTCATCACCTCCGTACGCGTCTTCTCCACAAGCGCGTCGTAGCGGTGCGGCTGCTGGTTGAGAACAGGCGGCCACGCATCTGGGTGGCGTGGTACCGATGCTGCAACAGCACTCGTGTCCTCTTCCTCCTCATCCTCCTCCTCATCCTCTTCCTCCTCATCCTCATCCTCATCCTCATCCTCATCGCCGTCGCGCTGTTCTTCTGCTTCGTCCTCATGCTTCTCCCCTCCTGCCGCGCCTTCAGCATCACCAGCACCCTCCTCCTCTACCTCTTGTGCGTCTTCTGCGTCTTCACCACTCACGTGCGCAACGGTGGGCACACGCCGCCCGCTCCTTGTTGTTCCGTTCACCAGCACGACATCGCCCGCCCCTGGCGTCTCGTGGCGCTGCTGTGGCAGGTCGGCGCGCCGCAGCTGTGCCAGCAGCCGCTTCACGTCCTCCTCGCTCGGTGGCTCGCCATCCTCCGTCGCAAAGAACCTGTTGTTGGTAGTCGTGGTGTTGTGAACATGGAGGTGGTGTCGTGGTGTCGTGGAGGTGATCGTGGCAGTTGATCGTCGTGATCGTGGTGGTGGTGGTGGTGATGTGCGAGACATGTTGTTAGGTACGGCGTGGGAAAGACGAGGAGCCGCAATGGGAACCAGCAACCCGACACCAAAACCTGTGCACCATCCCCAAAGACTGCAACACAACACACGACTGTATCCCATGCAAATAACAGCAAAAACAGTCGCACCCGTTGCAGAGTGTGGCGAGTCGGTCGCAGATGCGCTCATCATCCATGTCGACGCCAATCATAAACTCGTCCTGGCACAACCATCACCAGTGCACAGCAGCACACGCAGATGAGGGTCAGGCACGCAGATGAGTGCAAGACGCGCGATATCAAACACACACACACACGTGTCAACATCTTCCCGCCACACGCGTGGTTTACCCAATGCAATACATACAGACAACCCAAAACAAGCACACGCTGTGGTTGCAACACAGTCATGCACACACACGTACACGCCGATTGCAACCACACACTCGCAGCCCCGACCAACTTCTCTCTCCACCTGTCCACCACCACACACCTCAATGCCGAGCGGAGCAGCGATGCGCTGACGAAGGAATTCGCTGAACGGCTGCCCGCGCGTCACCCGCTCAATGATGCCGGCAACAATCCACCCAAACGACAGGATGTGGTAGCGGGCGAGCGTGCCTGGTGGTGTCTCTGCTGCCGCCTCCTGTATGTGCTTCTGCATCGTGTGCCAGTCGCACACCTGCTTCAGGTTCAGCTTGAGGCCGGGGAAGCGGTGCAGCCCAGCAGAGTGGGTAAGCACGTTGTAGATGGTCGTCTCCTCCTTGCCGTTGCACGCGTACTCGGGCCAGTGTGCACCAACGCGATCGCTGTACTGCAGAAGCCGCTGGTCGGCGAGCACGTGCAGCGCCGTCGCCGTCACGCCCTTCATCACGGAGAAGCAGTTGAAGAGCGTGCTCGGCGTGACGGCCCGCGGGTCCGCCGCTCCCATTGTCCCCGCACATGCGTTCACGACGCACTGTCCTTGGTGGTAGGCGGCAACCTGGATGCCTGTGATGAGGCCCTCGCTGTACAGCTCCTGCAGCACCTCCATCACCGCTCGCTGCGGACTGGCAGCCATGCGCACCAGCCGCACGCGCGACAGTGGCGCCGACGGCGGTGGCGATGATGGTGGCACACCGCCTGCGGTGGTGGTGTTCGTGGCGGTTGTGTCTTGACTGGTGTCGGTGTGGATGGGCGCAGCGGTGACGGCGTGCGTGGCGTGCAGGGAGCGGTTGTAGGATCGGATGAGGGCGAGGTGGGCGTATGGGGCCAGCACGAGCGAGTAGCGCATGCGCACGCCAAGCACAGCGCACAGGCCACGCAGAAGCAGGGTCACGCGGAAGAAGAACAGCAGCTCCGGCGGCCACGCCTCGACCGGGTTTCGCTGGCTGCGCGGCAGCTGCTGGCGCTTCTGCCACACGTCCTCGCGAAACTTCTTGAAGTCTCTGCGCATCTCTGCGCCAGGCGCTGTGTCACGCAGCACAAAGCGAATGTTCTTCATGTCCTCAAACGGGTCGTCCCGCTTCAGTTTCAGGCCCATCTCGTCAAAACTCCACAGCAGCGTGCCAAAGTCCATGGTGGTCGCTGCGTAGATCATGGCGGCAAAGGCCCGCTTCTTCTCCTCGGGCAGCTGCCGGCACATGCCGTAGTCAAGCAGCACCGGGTACGCCTTGCCGTCGCGCACCTGGACCAGGATGTTGCCTGCAAGCACGTTGAATGTGGGCGACGAGATATGGTAGGGGTGAATGTGTTAAGGGAAGTAGGGGGAGGGGGAACGAATGTAAGGAGTGAGGTGAAGGAATGAGGTTGAGGAGTAAGGTGAAGGAGTGAGGTGAAGGAGTGATACTGAGGAGTGAGATGAAGGAGTGAGGTCTGACCAACTGGTATAGACAACAGGATACACGCGTGTAAACACCCGAGCACGCGCGCACGCACGACAGCAATCAACCAAGCACAACGAACGAAACAACGTTGTGCAAAACGCAGAAGAGCGCCGTGTTCGCTGCATACCACACGACACCTCCGTCAGGACCAGCAGTACAGCACCGGCGACCATACCTGGATGCGGATCGCAGTTGAAGAAGCCGTCAACATACACTTGGTGCGCATATGCTTGGCAGATGCGACGCATGAGCGATTCGCGGTCAATGTCGTGCGCGTCAAGAAGATCCGTGTCCGTCACCTTGAAGCCCTCGCAGTACTCCATCACAATCACGCGGTTGGAGAAGAGGCCCTCCTCCAGTTTGGGCACAATGACATCTAAATGCGTTTTGAGGAGATTGTTGCGCACACGCTGCATGTTTGCGGCCTCGTGTTTGAAGTCGAGCTCCTTGATGGCGACCTTGGCCCACTCCTCCAGCACAGGCCGAAAATCATACTGCGGCTCAAGATACGCCACCCTGTTTGTTCGGGTTGGGGAGGGGGAAGAAGGTCGATGAGACCGAAGGGTCAAGTCGAAAAGGGTGACAAGTAATCACACACACACACGCACAAACACACAGACACACACACACACACACGGACACACACACACACAGAGAGACACACACAGATACGCACACTTAGACACACACAGTATCGCACAGCACCACACCATGAGACGATGACAAAGAGATTCTTGAGGTCCTGCTTCATGATGCGGTCAATGTTTTTGTGCTGCACTTTCACCACCACCTGCACGACAGGACACAGGTGTGGATGTGTGGACGTGTGGATGAGCGTTGAACACCCCCCCCCCTCCTCCACGACATCAACGAAACAGAGTGACAGGAACACATGATACATGCCTTCATCAGAGCCACCTGCAGCTACACAAGCCTCAACGATGGCACACACACGCGCACGCATACGCAGGCAAATGCACGCACCTGGTGCTTGCTGCGCTTGAGTGTGGCAATGTGCACCTGCGCGATACTTGCTGATGCAATTGGGAGTTCTTCAAACGAGGAGAAGAGCTCTGTGAGCGGGTGGCCAAGATCCTCCTCCACAATCGCTTTCACGTCCGCAAACGGCTGGAACGGCATCGTGTCCTGCAGTCGAAGAGAGGAAGAGAGGTGGAAGGTGGTTGAAACAGGAATAGGGGGGAGGCAGGGTGAGGTGTTGGCATGATAAGGAAACGGGTGTGAGGTGATGTGACGACGGATGGGAATGAAAGGATCGAAATGCAAACGAGGTGCTGTTGAAGCCAATGTTGAGGAGGTGGAATCCGCACGCATGACAGGTACATCAAGAACCCGCATGCACATACACACGCATACACACGCATACATACAATTGCACCCTCGCTCCCTCGCCTCCCCCCCCCCTTCAAAAAAAAACCTATCAATCCTCCATTGCCACCTCGCACGAGCATCATGCATGCATGCATGCACGCGTGTGTGCATCTGCAAGACCTGGAGGGAGCGAAGCTCGCGGACCCAGGGCTCCGGCATCACATCGCCGCGTGAGGACAGGTACTGCCCCACCTTCACCCAAAACCCGCGCAGCCGCCGCGCCAGCAGCTGGTTGATGGTGGTGGTGGTGGTGGTGGTGGTGGTGGTGGTGAGGAGGAGGAGGAGGAGGTGGTGGTGGTGAGGAGGAGGAGGAGGAGAGCATGATGATGTGAGAAAGCGGCAAGATAGGCAGCCACTGGAAAGCACGTGTTTGGATTCGCACGCAGTTGGATCACAACACGTCAGCACGAGCATGTACACACACGCAAACACGCTGATGCACAAACACAAGAACGCACAAACACACGCGCGCAAACACACGCGCACAAACACACAAGCATACCTGGACGCGGCGTGCGTTTGCTTCGTGGAGACGGTTCCACTGCTCCTCCTCCACTTCCTCGGAGACTGGAAAGTACTTTGACCAGTATTTCAGCAGCAGGATGCGGGAGATGACAACGGTGGATGTATAGTAGACCACGGCCTGGCGACGAAGGAGAGCAAGGCGGCGTCTGTTCAGCACGCCCAGGAGCACCAGCCCGCATGCGGTGCCGGCAATGTACAAGGGATATTGCATCATGAACTGCCATGCGCGAGAAGCGGTCGCGGCATTGAGGACAGCGTGTCCGGTCTCGGACGCCATGTCCAGCGCTTCTTGCTGCGTTGGAAGGGATGGCAGGGATGGCAGGGAGGACGGAAGTGCTGGCATGTCGATGGCGTAGGTAGACAAAACACCAGCGACCACCCCAACCTAACAAGCAGGCAAGAAAGGAAGATACAGTGGGGGGCATCGGAAACGGAAGGAAGAGTTGGGTTGACATGAGTTGGACGATGTCAGCATGTTGGCTGGTGGAGGCGACACGCATACCCCCACTGCAAATGTGTACATGCGCGTACAGCATCACAACCAGCATGCGACACTCAAACGTATGTAGTACACAACACATGCACAAACACATACACTCATGCACACATGCACACACACACACGCACATGTACACACACGCATACCCATACACTCATACACTGATACCCACCGAGAGGACGAAGAACGAGACTAGGGAACACGAGAGCCATGACGACGACGACGATGATGACGGCGTTGGTGAGGAGCGAAGCGACGAGGACGCAGACGGTGTATCAGCACTGCCGGTACCATCACGATGAATGCCTTCATTCAGGTGTGCACGGGCCACTGCGGCCGCTGTTTCCACTGCCGTCTTTGCATCGACAGGTCGCTCCTCCATGCTGCGAATGCGAGCAGACAGCTTCCCTTCCAGCAGGCCAAGCCCACTTCTCTCTTGCCCCTCTTGCTGTGACGACGACGACGATGATGATGACGAGGTGGCCTGTGGCTGTTCTTCTGTCATGGTGGCTGCTGCTGGTGCACGCGCTTCAGCTGTGCCAGCAGCTCGCCCCTGTGCCCTTCCCCGTCGCCGCTGCCCTTGTTGCTGTTGTTGCTGCTGCTGCTGTTGTTGCTGTTGTTGTTGTTGTTGTTGTTGTTGTTGTTGCTGCTGTGATTGGGCCTCTTGCAGGCGTGCAGAGAGTGAGGCTGAAAGCGACGATGAGGACGGGGGAGCAGATGACGCGTGCTGCCCTGGCGCTGCTGCTCGTGGTGGGGTGACGTTGCTGGCGGTGGTCTGGCGGGAACCCCGCTGCCGTGCTGTTGTTGTTGTTGTTGAGCGCGAGCGTGGCGGCGTGTGGGACGGCGTGTCTGTGATGAGCGAGTGGTAGGTGCGCTGCGCCTCCAGCACCTTCTGCTGGCACGGCCCGCACACGCGGTAGTCCATGATGTAAAAGTTTGAGCAATCTCCACAGAAAACTTCACCGCACACGCGGCAGTGGTGGCGGCGGCGGAAGAACGAAAACGACTGCTTGCACTCCAGGCACGTCGACCGCTCATCGTCGGGCACCTGCGTGTGCATGTGGCCGGGGGACAAGGAGACAGGGACAGAATGGAAGGGAGAGGGAGGGAGTGACAGAACGGAAGTGAGCGTCAGCGAGTCAAACGCGTGCTTGAATGTGGCACTGTGTGTGTGCGTGTGAAAACGTGATCGCATGTATTCAGAGGCTTGAGGCACTCTTGATGTAACAAGCAGATGCATGCGTACAGATCGATGCTGAACACATCACAGTGTCATAGCGGCTGTTCGTGTTCCACGCCACAGACCACCACAGAGGACCACAGAGGACTACAGAGGACCACACATCACCACAGAGGACCACAGAGGACATCGCACGATGCACATACCCAAGTCTTGGCGAGATACTGCTCCATGCGAAACCCGCGATCCATTCCCAGCATGGCGCGCGCCTGTGACGCCGTGCTGCCTGCACGCACTCTCTGCTGCTGTGGCTGCTGTTGCTGCTGTTGTTGTTGCTGCTGTGGCTGTGCAGCGAGCGGCACTTGGCCAGTAACGATGGGCTTGCATGCTTGGAACGCCTGCCGCACGTGGCGACCGTAACCCATCACCACCTGTTGTGGCAGCAATACGGGGGGGGGGGCACAACAATCATGTGAGGGAGGACGAGACGAGCGGTAGTGCACGAGCACGCCTCACGGGGAACAAAGGGCAGTGCGCAGCATTGTCAGACTCGCTGGGCGAGCAAGGAAAGTGCAGAGGGTATCCCATGAAGTGCATGACATCAGGCATCCATGGTGCTCGCACCTGGCGACTGCCTTCGAGTTGAATGCGGTTGCGAAGGATGGCAACAGGGACCTTGAGCTTTCCTTGGCTGATGGCCTTGAGAGTGTCAAAGTTGCATCGCAGCGTGGCGTCTGTGTACGCATGCATATGTGTGTGCGTGCGTATGTGTATTTGTTGTGTGCGTGTGGATGTTCGCGAGTGTGTGAGTGTGTGTGGTTGTGGGTGTGGGTGTGTGAGTGAGTGTAAGTGCATGTGTGTATGTGTGTTGGCAAATGTAGCTGTGACACACAGGCTTGGGGCACGTAGCAGGCAACGCAGACCACGGCCCATACACATATACACACGCGCACGCACGCACACATGCACACATGCACACATGCACACATGATCCTGTCGCGTTGCCATGCACACCTGGCTCGGCATGACGCGTGGCGGAAACCAGTGGTGTACTTTCGCTGCGCGTGTCAATGTGCCACACCCTATCGCCCACCTCAAACTGGATCACAACCGGTGCCCTATGTAAAGACGAGGAGGAAGAGGGGGAGGGGAGGGGCTGAGGTGAACGCGCGACGAAGCGTGTGCTGCAAGTTGAGCCCATGGACAAGAGTGGAGGTGCAAACAAGCAGCGAGCAACCAAGCTTTCGAGTGCAAATGGACCACAGTGCTCACAGGTTTGTGTCTTGATCGATGCTGGCCTGGAGGGTGTCCACAAACGTCGCCTGCACCTGCTCCTGTAACGCCACGTCCCCAACGTCCACCACACCTCGCGCAGAGGCAGAGGAGGAGGAGGAAGCTGCAGCCAAGTCCGTCATCGTGACGCCACCTTCTTCTTCTTGTCTTTCCTGTGTTGCGCGCACAGTGTCTCTTGGCTTTGCTGCTTGTGTGGATTTTTGTGTGTGGAGAGTGAACGAAAGGAGAGGAAAGGAAGGCAGAGGAGTTGGAGAGCGTGTCAAAGGCTGAGGGACGCTTGAACGCCGACAACACCACACAGCCTCTTTTTTCTTGCCGCGGCTGTTGCTGGGGATCGTGAAGCTCGCAAGGACAACCAGCTACTTGCAGAGATGCTGGGCAAAGGGGTGGGGTTGGCGACAGTGGTGGTGGAGTTGCTGCTGGTGCTGGTTGCAGCGGTGTTGGCGTCGCAGAAAGGATTGATTGGCTCCTGGATCGGCGTGTGCGTGCCCTTGTACATCCAAGACCTGTCCCTGGCCATCCTGTTCGTGCTGTACGTGCGCCAGCGGCCACGACCGCCCTGGAAGGACGGGCTCGTAAGGATCGTCGCGCTCGCAGCGAAGATCGCCGTGGACGTGGTGCTCCCGCTGCATGCGGACGGCCACATTTCAGGACCAACCACCGCCATCCTCGCACCCGTCTACCTATTGACCATTGCCGTCTTTGTCACCACCCTCATGGCCATGCTGCGCTCCAACAGATAACTGCACGTGTGCATGTTTGTGTGTGTCTGTGTGTGTCTGTGTGTGTCTGTGTGTGTCTGCGTGTGTGCATGTGTCTGTGTGTGTATCTGTTTCTGTCTGTGTGTGTGTGTGCGTGTGTCTGTGTGTATCTGTTTCTGTATGTGTGTGTGTGCGTGCGTGTGTGTGTGTGTGTGTGTGTGTGCGCGCGCGCGCGCGTGTGTGTCTGTTTGTGTCTGCGTGTGCGTGCATGTGTCTGTGTGTCTGTCTGTCTATCTGTGTGTGTGTGTGTGTCTCTGAGTGCGCGTTCTCTCTCTCTCTCTCTCTCTTTGTTCCCTCTGTTCCTCTGTGCCTCTCTAGCCCTCTGTATGTCGCTGATCCCTCTGCTCCTGTTGCCCCTCTTGTTGTGCCACACCTTGTTCTGGCCTGCACTTTGTGTGCCGTGTGAGCAGTTTCATTCGTTTAATTGTTGCTCCCCTTGCATGTATTGACCCTTCCTGCTCGCCCCTCCTTTCTCTCTTGGCTCCTGCCTCGGCCGTTGCCAATCGCAAGATGTACTTGCACAGCACCTCCGCCCAAGTCCGGCAGTGCTGCAGACGAAATACACATACAATGTATTGTATTTTGACTCGGCCTCACAAGTGACAGCGTTTGTACAACTACTCTCTTCGCCAGCGAAGGCATATGACATGCACAACATCAATCAGCACGCTGCAGCGCAACTCACGGCACATTGCAGCGGGCACTAACATGCGCGCAAAAGAGCAGTCTGTGGGCGCACCACATGCACACATGTCGGCAGTCAAGCAAGGGTCAGTTACATTACAAGGAAAGGAGCTCAATAGCAAGGGGCAGAGCCAATTCGAGCTAATATCAGCTATGTCCGTTGTCAGGCGTAGCTGTCTCCGTGATGATTGCCTGGGGGCAACACAAGCAAGATGTCGAAACGAACGCACACATACACACGTGTGAGTGCGTGCACTCACATGTACACCACACTCACTCACTCACTCACTCACTCACTCACTCACTCACTCACTCACTCACTCACTCACTCACACACACTCACTCACTCACTCACTTACACACACACACAACTACACTCACTCACTCACTCACTCACTCACTCACTCACTCACTCACTCACTCACTCACTCACTCACTCGCACACTCACATACACAACTACACTCACTCACTCACTCACATACACAACTACACTCACATGTACACACACGCACACGACACGCATGCACACCTTCCATCGCTGCCGCAGCTCGGAGATGAAGGCTGGTGATAAGAAATCGAAGGAAGGTTCAGGATTGAGGCCAGTGACAGCAACATGCTCGGCTGCTGCCAATGCGTACATGCCGCAGTCAAAGCTATTTGCCTGTCTCGGGAATGGCGGCTGCAGCAGCGTGAGGCGTTTGTGCGTGCCGAGCGCCGCTGACAGCCTGGTCAGGAGTGGCGTCACCACTTGGTCGCGCATGCTGGCCGAAGGCATGGAATCGAGGTAAAGGGCACGGCTCTGCTCCGTGTCCACTGCCAGCAGGGCCCAATGCGTGCCAGCGTTTGGTTGCCGCGCATCACTGACGGCATCGTTGACAGGGATGACGAGGACCTTGGCCTGGGCTGCCCCAATCGGTTCCAGCAGCGCCACACGTGCAGAGGCGGCGTCCATGGCGAAGAGCAGCTGCAGGGAGCTGGGATCCACGAACACGACATCGCCGCTCTTGCTCCTTGCCCTGGTCTCGGCATGCCCGTGTCGAAAGTACTCAAACGCGAATGTGAAAATGGCGTCGTTCAGCCACTGTCCGGGTTCCAGCAGCGCCACATCAGACGCAAACAGCGACGCGTCCTCATACGTCACCACCACCCGTGACGCCGTCGCAGTTTGTGGCGGTGAAGACGCATCCATATTGGGTGTCGGGGCACGACAGCATAAAATGTGCACTTCCAACCTGTGTCTGCAAAAGAGGAGGTGTGTGTTTGGTTTGTTTGTGAAGGTGTGGTGGTGGACGCAGTGATGTGTGTGTGAATGCGAAGTCGCTCGCTCCCGTCTGCTGTTGTGTATGTGTGTGTGTGTGTGTGTGTGTGTGTGTGTGCCTTTGCATCCATCCCCACACAACCTGAGAGGGCAAGGAGTTGAGGGAAGGGTGGTTGGTTGCAAAGTGCGTGACGTTCCCGGTTGTTTTGTGAATACCGTACATCATGTGCTTGCTTTGTTGATGCAATCTTGTCTGACATGGAAGCACACACTCGCACGTCTTGTTTGGAACAAGGAAACACTGACCGAAGGCAAGAGCCAGGCAATCGAACCAACGAGCTCCCGTGCATTTAATCCTCGTCTCGCTCGCGCGCGTGCGTCCTTGTGGCTGATACCCTGACACACTTCAGCTATCAGCAATCATGGCAACCCAACCCAAGTTTGTCAACTCGTTCTGGGTAAGGACAATGCAGCGCTTTGTTCGTCCCACAGCCGTTCTCCTGTGCCTGTGTCTGTGTTCGTGTGTATACATGTCTACGTGTGTACATGTGTATCTCTGTGTGTGTATCTGTATGTCTGTCTGTGCCTGTGTGTGTATCTGTGTCTACCCGTCCGTCCGCCCGTCCGCCCGTCCGTCCGTCCGTCTGTCTGCCTGTCTGTTTGTCTGTCTGTGATATGAAAGAAGGGCTTCTCGTGTGCTCACACCGACACACATTGTGTGTGTGTTCGTGTGTCGCGCACCAAAACGATAGACGCGCGACTTCACGTCCACGGAGGGCTTCGACGTGTTGCACCAGCGCATGAAAGACTCAAAGGCATTCACAGATGACGTGAACAAGTTCCTCAGAGAGCGGGCGGCAATCGAGGAGACATATGCGCGCAACCTGATCAAGCTCGCCAAGAACGCGGCAGGCGGCTCCGAGACCGGGTGAGTCTGGCTTCTGCTGCTTCGCGCCTGTCCCCACTGCTTCGACAACATGGTCTGGCAATCCGCTTCTGTCCTCACGTTGCACTTGTCCTCCTTCGTCCCATCGCCACAGCTCCCTCCGTACGACCTGGGACAAAGTCAAAGAAGGTGCGCGTGTGTATTTGATTATGTGATAGCGTGTGTGTGTGTGTGTGTCTGTCTGTCTATCTGTCTGTCTGCCTGTCTGTCTGTCTGCCTGTCTGTGTATGTGTGTCTGTCTGTCTGCCTGTCTGTGTATGTGTGTCTGTCTGTCTGTCTGTGCTTGCATGTCTCGATCCTTCTGTCTGTCCACCTGCCTGTCTGCGTGCCTCTGTCTCTCCTTCTTTGCGTACGATTGGGCTGTGAAGCTGACAGGCTTGTTTCTTTTGCCTGCGTGCTTGTTGTCGTGACTGCGGACACTACGTGCCCCCGCACACCACAGAGACAACGGCAATGGGCATGGAGCATCAAAACTTGGCGGCACAGATCCTGTCTCAAGTGGAAAAGCCCATCAAGGACCTGCGGTGAGTGCAAGCCGCCCGTCATGCACACGCGTATATCTGACTGAACTCACACTGAGGGAACATTGCGTACACCATTGCCTACAACATGCGTCAACTCCTCCCCTCCTCTCCACATTCTTCCTCCCCCCCCCCCCTCCACCACCGCACACATTAATCAACTTCACTGTCTCACCCTTCCACCACACAAACGATCGCACCTGCATGGTGCTGTGGTATTGCATTGCACCCCCCCCCGCCAGCGAGGCGCAACGGCTGCTGCGGAAGAAACTTGAGGAGACGCTGAAGAAGGCGCAGAAGGACAAGGTGCTGTTTGGCTGTGGTCGTGTTGTGTCGTATTGTGTCGTGTGGTTTTGGAGAAAGGGAGAAGGTTTTGTCTGTTTGGCTGATCATGCGCACATCATACCTACGCCTTGTTGCCTTTTTTATTGTATTATCTTGCTTACGCACATGCATATGTACATATCCACGCACTCGCACACACATACACACGCTCACACACACGCACACGCGCACACGCTGTCTGCAGGCGAAGCGGTTCAACGACAACGAAAAGGCGAAGAAGCTGTACGAGTCCAAGTGCCGGGAGGCGGAGAGGGCGGAGGAGGAGGCGAACAAGAGCGCGGCCCTGCCCCAGAAGGAAATTGACAAGCTCAAGGCAAAGGCCCGCAAGGCAAAGGTCCGTCCTGCAATCGTGTGTGTGTGTGTGTGTGTGTGTGTGTGTGTGTGTGTGTGTGTGTGTGTGTGTGTGTGTGTGTGTGTGTGTGTGTGTGTGTGTGTG